GAAAAGTGCCGCTTCGCCTACGAGGAACTATTGTTCCTTGGCCACGTTATCAGCAAGTCGGGAGTGCTCCCTGATCCACAGAAAACAGCTGCGATCGCCGACTTTCCTGCACCCATCGACAAGAAAGCAGTACGCCGATTTCTTGGCCTCTGCGCTTATTACAGGCGCTTCGTGAAGAACTTTTCGCGGATCGCCGAGCCACTGACGTACCTCACGAAGGCCGACGTCGACTTCAAATGGGAAACGCCGCAAGTCGAGGCATTTCAAGAATTGAAGCGACGCCTGCAAACGCCGCCAATACTGGCGCACTTCGACGAAGAAGCTGACACCGAAATTCACACGGACGCAAGCAGCACAGGGCTCGGCGCCGTGATCGCGCAGAGGACCGACGGACTTGAAAGGGTCATCAGTTACGCTAGCCGGTCACTTTCGAAGGCAGAAGCCAATTATTCCACGACAGAAAAGGAATGCCTTGCCATCATCTGGGCTACATCAAAGTTCCGCCCCTACCTGTACGGCAGGCCTTTCAAAGTCGTGAGTGACCACCACGCCTTGTGTTGGCTAGCTAACTTGAAGGATCCATCAGGGCGCCTCGCACGGTGGAGTCTCAGACTACAAGAATTTGACATCACCGTCGTCTACAAGAGCGGACGAAAGCACTCCGACGCCGACTGCTTGTCTCGCGCCCCTGTCGATCCGCCGCCCCAGGATGACCAGGACGACGGCTCTTTCCTGGGACCCATAAGTACCGACGACTACGCGGAACGCCAACGAGCTGACCCGGAGCTCAAGATCCTCATGGAGTACCTGCAAGGCAAGACCGCCGACGTGCCGAAAGTATTCCGCCGAGGACTGGCTTCGTTTTTCCTGCGAAACAACGTCCTCCTGAAGAAAAACTTCTCGCCGCTCCGCGCCGACCACCTCCTCGTGGTACCTTCAGCGTTACGTCCAGAGGTTCTGGAAGCATTACACGACGACCCGACAGCCGGACATCTTGGTGTTTCCCGCACACTGTCACGAATACAAGAGAAGTACTATTGCCCTCGCCTCGCTGCCGACGTCGCCCACTACGTAAAAACATGCAGAGACTGTCAGCGACGCAAGACGCCGACAACTAGGCCAGCCGGACTTCTGCAACCCGTCGAACCACCTCAACGGCCATTCCAACAAATCGGCATGGACTTACTGGGGCCGTTCCCGACGTCAACTTCTGGCAACAAATGGATTGTCGTAGCGACTGACTACCTCACCCGCTATGCCGAAACAAGGGCCTTGCCCAAGGGCACTGCCGCCGAGGTCGCCATGTTATTCATTGAGAACATCGTCCTCCGCCACGGAGCCCCCGAGGTCCTCATCACCGACAGAGGTACGGCCTTTACGGCTGACCTAACGCAAGCGATCTTGAGGTACAGTCAGACAAGCCACCACCGAACCACCGCGTACCACCCACAGACGAATGGCCTCACCGAGCGTCTAAATAAGACCATCGCCGACATGCTGGCCATGTACGTGGACGTCGAGCACAAGACGTGGGACGCCATACTCCCGTATGTAACCTTCGCGTACAACACGGCCGTGCAGGAAACGACGCAGTTTGCTCCATACAAGCTCGTCTACGGACGGAGCCCAACAACGACGCTTGACGCCATGCTACCGGTCGGCACCGACGAAGAAGACCTCGACGTCGCCAGCTACCTGGATCGCGCTGAAGAAGCTCGACAGCTAGCCCGCCTGCGTATCAAGAGCCAACAGACGGTCGACAGGCGCCACTACAACCTTCGACGACACGACACCGAATACCAACCAGGTGACCTTGTCTGGGTCTGGACGCCGATACGACGACGGGGATTGTCTGAGAAGCTCCTGCGACGCTACTTTGGACCCTACAAGGTAGTCCGACGTCGCCAAAAAAAAAAAAAGACCCCCAGTGGCGCACTGCGCCGGCTTTTTATACACGCGTCGTAACGCGTTCCAACGTGGCATACAAGATAAACGCGTCCTGCGTTGCGCTTAACAGAAAGTGATAGCGTCTTCCTTCGCAAACGAAAAGAACCGCACGTGTCAGTTTTTTATACACGCGTCGTAACGCGTTCCAGAGTGGCATACAAGATAAACGCGGCCTGCGTTGCGCTTAACAGAAAGTGATAGCGTCTTCCCTCGTAAACCAAAAGAACCGCACGTGTCAATATTCTATTTTACTGTTTCAGCTCCCGTGATGCCTTGCCGCGATAGTCTAGTAGCTAAGGTACTCGGCTGCTGACGCGCAGGTCACGGGATCGAATCCCGGCTGAGGCGGCTGCATTTCCGATGGAGGCGGAAAAGTTGTAGGCCCGTGTGCTCAGATTTGGGTGGATTTTGAAGAAAACCAAGTGGTCAAAATTTTCGGAGCCCTCCACTACGGCGTCTCTCATAATCATATGGTGGTTTTGGGACGTGAAACACCACATATCAATCAATCAATCAATCAATCAATCAATCAATCAATCAATCAATCAATCAATCAATCAATCAATCAATCAATCAATCAATCAATCAATTATTCATTCGTTCAATCAATCAATCAATTATTCATTCAATCAATCAATCAATCAATTATTCATTCAATCAATCAATCAATTATTCAATCAATCAATCAATCAATCAATGAGCTCCGTGGTCTCTTGTTTCGTTGCAGTTTGTAATTAGGGTAATTTAGTAATTTGCCCTTTGCATAGGTCTGCCTCTCCAAGCTGCGTAAAACATACAATCGTTGCTGTAACCCTTGCCCAAACGGCCAAGGACAAAACAGCTAAAAAACTAGCCTCAGGCGTAATCAGAAGGAAAAATTGCGCAGCATGGACATTCTTATGATGCGAATAAGCACTCACTATCTCGGCACAGATGGTTTAAGCCAGAAAACATTGTTGTGGAAGGTTGTTAATGGTAAGAACGACTTCAAAAGCAATGGTGAAAGTCTCATTCGGGGTGGGAAAGGTATAGAGGGCCACAACAGCATTTACATAAGCTGACAATGGGAAATAAACTGATGGCTAGCGTAGCTTTTGTATAAATAATCATGAAACTACAGCTAGCGGTCTCTGCCTTGACACAGGAAAAAAAAAGTGATGCGCGAAGCAAAAATAGGTGAGGCCTCTAGGTTTTCGGTCAATAAGAAGCAGATGCGATTGAACATATCGATGCCGTGAACGGCAAGATACACACTACGTAACAGCGCAAAAAACAATCTCGCAGGGTTTCTTATGAATTCACCCAAGGTGACCCGAAGGCGACAGCCGTGTGCTTCTTTTTGTTCAACCAATTTATTAGTCCCTCACGCTTCCTGCGAATGTTTTCTGCACCTGAAGTGGCTTTGCACTGTTTTAGGACTGGAAGCATTTAAAACTTTCAGCACCTCACCTGGCCTCCATGATTGGTGGGCCGATCACACAATAACAAAGCAGTGCAAAGCGACGATGTCGTCTCAAGACGTGATCATGGGGCCGTCATGATGACCTTACACATTCTGGTGATACGTGATGTCAAGATGATGTCGTGTGGTGACGCCATCACGAAATAATTCTTGCATCACTCCTGTTGACGCCGACACCGCGGGACGTCAAAGCCACCAACGGTCAATTTTTCTTTTTTAGGTGAAAACCTTAGATGCCTCATCAAACGTGAAACCGGACCGTTCGCGTCCCGCGTCGGTGACGTCAAGTGATCGAAAAAAAACAACAACCACGTGATGAAAACATATATGACGTCAGACAGCGTAAAAAATTGTGACGTCTTCAAAACATCACGTGACTTCATGTGATCACGTTATCGCATGACATCCGAGCTTGGTGCAATGTGGTCTGATCATGCAGGAAATGCGGAAGCAGTTTTGCAGTGCCTCCTATTTTGGAGGCGGTGCAAACCTCGTTAGGTACAGCACCATTCGCACCACAAAGACTGATGCGAATGGTGACAGGCTGGGGCGTCCGCCAGGGGGTGCAAAAGGGGCACTGGCCCTTTCAAGCCACACCGGCACCTGCCAACGCCTAAGCTAAACCAGTGCTCTCCCCAGCTGCGACGCAACACCGGTTCGCATTCACGGCAAAGCCCTGCTGATAGTCATAGACTGGCGAGGTAGGATCAGTACATCGACTGATAAGAAAAAGAAAATGGTCTTCTCCATCAAATCATCTTAGGTGGATGGATAGGGGACCCTGTGAGTTTATAATGATGTATCTAAGCCTCTCGCCTTAATTAATTCGCGTAGTTATTTACAGGGTAAGCTGCAAGTGTAAAATCCCAGCACCATAATCCCAACGAGGACACAGATGACAAACGTTCAACTTAGCTGCAGCCCCACAAGCATCGAAGCCATGAAGCAGCACCAAGCAATGGACGAGCAATATAAGTGTAGGGGTTCAACGTCCCAAAACCACCATGCGATTATGATAAACGCTGTAGCGGAGGGCTCCCTGCAGAAATTTAGGCACATGGGCCTAAAGCATTTTCGCCACAATCGAAAATGCGGCCGCCACGGCCGGGATTCAACTCCGCGACCTGCGGGCCAGTAGGCGAGTGGTTCAGCCAGTAGACCACCGAGGCGGGTAAGCAATGAATGAAACGTCCAGTGCCTTTCACGTATTATCAAATCCTAGAACAGAGCAAGCGTGTCCACCGCTTTCCTCATACAGCATGTTCAGTGATGATGACGGTTTTTTGCGAAGAACAACACAGTCTTGTATGCGTGAATGAAAATCGGAGTGATCAGAACAAGCGTTTCTTCACAATGGCAGCTCCTTACACCAGCCAAAGCCACTCAAGGCGCACGATAAAAGCAGGCGAAAGCGGGAAAGCGTCGTCTGGTCTGACCGCCGGCGCTCCGCACTCCCATAATGCCCCAGCGCCGATCCACCAGGGGAAGGCGCGGTGCTGCGATTTCTGGAAAGGTCCATTTAGCTATCCTCTTTTTAAGCAGAACGTGCGGCGAACAACGTATGTCACGGCCATCACAAAAAAGCACGTACTTGTGGTATGACGGTGATGGCAGTTCGAAGCCTGGACAATGGTACTGACGCGATGTCAACACCGTCGACGAGAATGCGACCGCTGGTAGCCCTGATGAGACGCAGCAGGGCCAGCACCAGCGAGGACTTGCCTGCACCTGTGCGACCCACAATGCCCACCTGCGAAGAGGCAAGTCATTGTTTTTCATAAGGGTCCCGCAACACTTTTTGAATCTGCTCACAAAACGCTGCCAATCAATAGTCGAGGCTTATGAAAACACGTGAGCCATACATTGTCGCACCACACATGACCTGGAACTTACTAATAATTCTCTAATTCAGCTGAAAATTACTCACTCTTAGTTCGAGAAATAATGCCATACTCATAAATGACCGCATAAAAAATGAAACTACATTGCCATTCGAGCATCGTGAATGGCATAGTCACAGTGGCCGCCGAATGAAGTGGCAAAGCGGCCACGTGCTCAGTCGCGGTTCCTTCGAAAGGAAGCCGTACATGCATATCCAGTTTGCGTATTTGAATTTTCGCTTCACTACTTGAGCACGCAGGAACCTATTTTACTCGCATGAATTTCCATGCGGCACTGCATCGTACTGCACATGTACCTATCATGTTTGAGTGCGTGGCACTTTGTGCCCTATTATCAACTTTACTTCATACTTTCTCTGTTAGGTGAGAAGGAAAAACCGATGTCGTTATAAAGGCTTCACCTTGAATTTGCTCAACAGTGCTACACCAAAAACACGATCACAGCGAACCAGGCACCGAATAACACTGCGCTGTGTTGTTCACTTCTCTTTCCTTGTGTTCATGTCCCTAGTGTGGTGCTGTTAACAAAGTTCAAGATGAGTCGAAACCAACTGGCTCAACTTTCCGTCTTACTTCATTAAAAGGAATCAACCTCTCATACTCATTAAAATGTCGTAGGCTGGAAGAAAATATAGAGACACTAATAAATCAGTGAGAGAGTGTTGAAGGTCACCCCGCGCGTTCCTTTCACTCCTCCTGCTGAGCTTTGAGTGCACTCTCTGGTACGAGATGATAGTACACGAATCCTGACATCTCGAGTCACTTGTACTCGGCAGTTTCTTAAAGTGTTTGCAGAGGTTGATTCGTGAGGCAACACTCTTGTGATGAAATACTTTCATAAGTACTTGGAAGAACGCTTCAGGGTCCCAGGACTTGGTCCGCGTAGGCACTGTGTGAATTGCAATAATTGCAGTCATCACCTCCTCCGTTCTCTCTTTGCGGCTCGGGAAAAAAGCTGGTCGCAGTTTTGCCGGCTGCGCTCACGGCACACAGTCACCAAGGCGCTCGCGACAAGTTGCGCTACTGAAGTCGCGGGAATTCCGCTGGGCGACATAAATTTAGCTCAAGATGAACAGCATGAACCACATGAACTAAATAAGACAGTCATTGGTATTATATCGATGTTCATCAACGTCCAACACGAAACTTGGGATCAGGTATTACCTTCTGTGACGTTCCCTTACAACACCGTCGTTCAAAAAACAGTGCTATTCACGCCATTTCGTTTTCTCTACAGCTGCAAAGTTCAAAGGATGTTGAACGCTATGCTTCCCTGTCAAGACGCTGACCGAACGTGCCAAGGAAGCTCGCCAGCTAGTGTGACTGCATGTCGGTCTGCAACAGCAGACCGACATGCAGCACGATGGTACAATACTCACCATCGAGACGTGCCCTACAGTCCAGGAGGCCCAGTGTGGGTGTAGAACACTTTTCGTCACTGTGTCTTCTCGGAAAAGTTGCTAAGCTGCTACTTTCGACCCTGTAAGGTGCTGCGCCGTGTGAGTGAACTACGAGGTAGTTCTGAACTGTGGGTCATCAACTCAAACAAAACGAAGACAACCGAGCTCAGACATAGTTCATGTCGTGCGCATGAAACCTTAATTTGCGCGTTCATAATTTCTTCTGTCATTCGTTTTCATTTTTCATTACGCCGAAATCTCCATGAACTGCTTGAGCTTAGCTGCTCATCTTCCTTATCTTTTTGCGCCGTGTTATCTACTAATTTTTAGTCTATCTTACAGCATAGAGGCGATGCTGTTTTTCGCAGAGAAGGGAATATAGCCACATGTAGTTATGGGTGGCATGCTTGTGCAGAGGCACAGGCCACGAAAGAAGTGCACGTGCTGTCCGTCTTAAGTTTACGCCTAATTGACGCGTCAGGCAAGAGTCCTGCTGTCCTATCTCTGCGTCCAATAAATCTCACCTGGACCTGATGTCATAAGAATGGAGACTTCAACGACTTGAAAAAATACAGTCCAATGAACTCGCTGTCCGTTCTCTACAAACTATATACGAAAATAATAGGTAAAACAATTAAGGTGGCATTACAGTTCAATAAACCAAGGGACCAAGCAGGATTTCGTACAAGCAACTCCGCAATAGATCATACTCATACTATCGATTAAATAAATGCGTAAATACAACGCAGATCCAGCTTTCAGGGACATTTAAGGCCCTGTTTTTCACATTACCTTTCATTTTAACTTTCATTTTTTCACATCATTTCACATTAACTTTTACATTTTTTCACATTAACTTTCATCTCTCAGATGAAAAGACGTGCTGGAGTTACGAATCTAGAGCAATTAGGCCATTGTTACAATTTCACTTCACGCATACAAAACTTGTAAAACGAGGAATTGCCTGAGTGAGGCTCTAAAGAAGTCTTGCCAGTGCCTCATGAATGAAAACTTCAGGCAACAGGTCCTGCGGTTAAGCGATGCCGGGTACCCTAAGAGTCTCGTCGTGTCAGTTGCAGAAAGATGACACAAAAAAGTGCTAGAGAAAAGGTGTGAGGAGGCGGATAAGGCAAGCTCGAGAGAGAAAAACTTTGCTGTCATCCCAATACATACAGAAGTTGACTCACAGCATAAAGAAATTCGCAGAAAAATGTGGCACAAACATAGTTTTTAGCACCCATTAAACTGGCGAGTCTAGGCAGAAGCAAATCACCAGACAAGACGAAGTGAAATGTATGCAAAAAAAGCACAGAAACCATATATATATTTTTTTGTGGAATGCGTCACGTGTGTTGTCTACCTGATTCCACTTACTTGTGAAAAGTGCTGAATCGGAAAGACTGGCAGATGCATAAATTATCACTTGTGCGAGCACATTAACAAACTAAATAGTGGGGATCATGATGGTTATCATGAAGAGAAGTAAGTGCTATAGATTACGTGGTTGATAATGGAGGATGACAGAATTTCGGAGTTTGGTGACGCTTTTGTAAGCAGTCCATCAGTGATGGTGAAAAATAAGGAACTGGATTGCAAGTCTTTGAAATATACAATTCCCCTTAAGCACTAGGAAAAAAAATTGAGTGCGATACAGCGTTGTCAAGCGTTGAGGCACGCGCGAAGGTTACAATTTATGGTTGTGAGTGCACTTGTGACGTATGACGTTGTGAAGTACATATTTATTAAAGGAATCGGCGAGTATTATACTGTCATTGAATATTTGCGCTGTGTTATCTTGAATGTGCCTTTTGTTGTCCATGTACTTTGTCTGCGCTACCATATCTTATAATGGTACGTGGTTGGAAGGCTCCATCGCCCTCTCGCACGCATTCCGCGACCACTTTCCCGTCTGCCTTTTTAATTATTATTTTTGTGGTACTGAGTAAAATACTGCCGCCGCTTCTTCTATGACTGTAAGAAATTATAAATAATTGCACCGAAAAGTGGTATGCTTTTCATAATGCCTGACTTCCGGCGTCGTCTGCAATGGCCACCTAAATGAATACCACGGGGCCGAGCGCGCTGCCTCTGTAAAAGGTAACGGTCCCTTCCGTGTCGAACTGAAACATTATATGTGTATTAACCGTAAAAAAAAGTGATCTTTTCTGAAAGAAATGTGTGCCACCACTCTACTTCATTCGTTGTGGGTTTGCATCTAAAGACGAGCAGCGGTTGACATGATAAGCATGCGCAAATTACATTTTTGTTTAGCACACCCAGCCCTCTGAAGCACAGCGCAAGCGAATTCCCCCTTTGTGGAAATCAACTGTGCATTTTTACAGCCGCACGCAGCCGCAACCTTTCTGGTTTGATTGACGGCAAACGTGGGAATCACATGCGCGTGTGCCTCAGAGTTGTAACTTTTTTCTGCGGAACGATCCTAATATTTATTGCACAAAATTGGTATTGTGGCCACACGTGGCACATTTGACGGTCATTGAACCACACAAGGGTGAAAATTATGAAATATTGATTCAGTTCCATAGCTTCTACAGAGAGGTCAATTGTGATAAAAGTGCGATCAGCCATACCGTATCATTTCGCGCACTTGAATGGCCATGTTGCGAGGTCTTGCTTTCGTAATCTAAACAGCAATTTCATGTTTCAGTAAAACTGCGAGTGTCCATAGTTTTTGTTAATGTTCCGCGGCTCCATTCATAAGCTGTGTGATATTAAACGGCAGCTCTTAGAAGATGAATCAGTTTTCGAAGCTGACCACGTTTTCGCCTGTGGATCAAAACAATATTGAGAAGAAGTGACAGTGGCTATGAACCTCTTCTACAGAGGTATATATGCAAGGAACACACGGACGGCAGGGGTGTTGGCAGAAATCTGTTTTGGTGAGGGCACCAACTTGAATATAATTGGAACGGGCATGCAGATGTGGTCGACCGTTATTTTGTGCACTATATACCACGAGAAAAAAAACATTTTTTTGTGGAGGGGAGGGGGTGGTACGGGCTTTGTGTAACAACCCGTCACTGGGGGATGCAAACCCGCGTGGACACCCAGGGAGGAGGATGGTGCGGTAATGGTTACCTCCGCGAGAGAAGTAACCTTTAGCAAATACTGGAGCGGCACATGTAAGAAAGAAGCCTTCGTCGAACGTGCTGGCCGAACACGCAGAAGCAACTAGCCATGAAATTAAGAAAAACAAAGGGAAAAGAACTGAACTTTGGGGCTATGTCTTGACTCTCTGACAGTTCATGCAACGACGCACATTTTTGAATGTAGTGACAGCAAATTCTGCCACATGTACGCTCCTACGTCCAATTTTTTTTGAAAAATTAGGGCCCCTTAAGCTTTGTCTTAAGCTACAGCGACATTTTGTTTGTAGGTCGTACTGCAACGACTTAGTGTAAAAATTATTTTCTCACTTGCTGTGCACC